GAATTATGCAAATCAGAGGCTGCCTGGCAGAACAGAAAAACTATTACATAATATTTAGAATGGAATCTTTACTGAAATACTCCAGATATTGCAAATTTATCTTCTGTTCCTCTCTAGAGACTATAATTTACCAACACAAAGTTAGCCTTTTCCTTTTCCACACTACTAATGTTCCTAAAGTTGGTTGTGTTTGGGTTTCTTGAATCAGAATGAATCCCAGATGGCCACTGTTTCAAATAATCTGTAACAAGATACTATTTTGCTTCTCTTAGGTTTCCTTTCACTGTGATGGGGGAGGGAGGCTCCTTGGGTAACGGTAACTTATGCAAGAAGTTACCAAATGATGGTAGTTGCTCGACTGGAAGACACTTTCTTGGTTCCCACTTTGATGTAGTGTCTTGCATTTAACTCTTTTCCTGTGAGTTATTTGCTCTGCCCTGTTGCACACCCCTCTGTCACGTGGATATATATTTACCATAGGTCTTTAACCTGTCCTCCCCGGGAAGACAAAACAAACAGATGTACACGAAGCTATCTTATGCAGTAAAAATGTGAAATTTGAACATTGCTACATAAGCATTGTACAAAAAACAAGTCTGTAAAGAAATTTCTTATGTAAACCTACAGGGGAATAAAGACTTTTATCTGTTCAAATGGGATCATGCTGTTTAGAGGTGTAAATAAGTTAAAATAGCTGCTGTTTTCCTGACGTGAAAACCCACTTTTGGAGAAAAGACTTAAACGCACTGTTGAGTGACAATAAGTACCAGTGCACAAGAAAGTGTGGATGCATGTGAGAGACATACCATGGACATTTTAATGAATCCTGGCTACCCCCGGAGAGTAAACCCCCTGCAGTCAAGTAGAATAAAACGCCTGCAAGCCTACATTCGATATGACCAGACATAGGGTTGTAAAATGGAGCACAAATTTGCAGCTTCCTTCGTCTTATTTAATCTTTAATATACCCCTGCCAATTTAATTAAACATTTTATGTTGGCAAGAACAATTTTATGCCCGGTGAGAAATCTCTCATTTAATCGCCTCATTGGTCTGAGAGGCACAGCGCAGCATCACTAGCCAGCGCTGGCGCCCATCAAGTCCGTTATTTCCCAGTTGTGGATGTTAATGCAGCCACCCAACAGATGGCAGAACCGAATGCATCGTTTTATCATCTAAGCCAAAAGGTCGTGGAAATGATTAGTTTGGTGTATATCTCTTGATTCCCTGATTCGGTTCCAAGACTTTAAATTTCAATTGGTGCTGCATTTCTGAAGTTGTTGTGAAGGGATATTTTGTGTCCTATTCACTAACTATATGAGAAGCCTTCTCAATACTCCAAGTCTTCTTTTTCAGTTTTTGGCAAGAAATTATGTCTTTAATACTCCCTGTAATTGTTATTTCAGTTTATGGTATGGGGAAAAGTCAAATTCTTGTTGTGCACACTATATTGCATTAAGGAATATCCAGCTTGAAATTTAAGTCTTCAGATTTTGATTCTTTAGAGAGTACTCTGATGACCTTCACTGTGTTAATTAGGTAAAATTTCCAGGGTAACCCCATCCCAAATGATTCAGCACTTGTGGTTGCTTTGAAAGTTAATGAGGAGCTAGTGAGGATAGTTGCCAAGTCATCAGGTACTTTTTTGGGCCTCCTTTCCCATTCCCTGCAGCATGTGAGTTCTCACTGAAATGTATATAATTTGGAGCCTCAAAATAGTCTAATACAGAACTACCCTAGTGGAAGTATCAAAGTATGCTTCACCAGGCACACAGGCCTACATCAGAGCAAGAAAAAGAAGTGTTTTGACTTCTTGCTTAATTTGATGTGCTTAAACCAAAATAAAAAGAGGCATGACCCAGTTTGAGGGAATTATAATAAAACCCTACCTTAGACTCATGATAAGACCTTTGTGCATACCATGAAGCCAGGCTCTGGGCTTAAGCTCCTGAGGCACAACAGACTGTGCTTGCTAAGCTCTGTGGTCACAGGTTATCTGCTGTGACATGCTATTGGCTACCAAAGGAACTGGGCCAATGTGTGAGGTTAAATTGGAATAAATTCTTCATTTCTGGTAGGCAGACTGCTTCAAATGTGTTTTCCTGTTGGTACAAGGCTATCTTCATATACAAGGACTGTTCACCCTGAAAACACATGTTTTCCCTGTAAGAACACATTCACATACTCCAAAAAAGACCTTTAACTGCCAACAAGATTTAATCTACCTTCTGTTTGTAGTTATTTGGAATTTCTCCTTCTCTTGACTACCTTGTTTCTTATACTGCCACCACCAGGATTCCCTAAGGGAATGTGAATGTCTGGGCTTCCCCCATATTCTCTGGCATTTCTTTGCCCTTGAGAGTGCCAGGCCTGGAGAGATGCAAAGGGTGGTTACTCTCTGCCTTAGTCACACTGCACCTCCTCTAAAGAGAATGGAAAAGTTGAGAGACTTGGCCTTCTCAGAAGAATCCTTTAAATACACTTTTCCAGGCCTACGAAGCTGATTGATGCTGCTGAAAGAAGAGAGGAAATAGATTTGGTCCTTGTTTTGAAGAACAGGAGACTAGTTTTTCCTTCAAAGTAGATGTTATGGTGTTTTTATGACTGTTTTTGTGAATAATTAAAAGTTGTTGGAATTTGAAGTATGATTTTCCCATTACTCACCATGAAGGGCATAGAATATGCTCTATGTTGGAAGGTTGTCTAAATGGGTTATTGACCACAAACTCACCTTTTAACAGAAATAGTTTTGATGGGTTAGACATGTTCTTCTGTCCTGTCCAACTCTGGGTAAGGGTACACACATGCAACCTTGGTACTTAATGGTTCTCAAAATGTAACCTAGCCCTGCAGGCATCCAGAGTGCCCCTGGTTCAGTAGATAGCTGCTTTTTGTCAGTCTCTGCAACAATTGTTTTGAATAAAATCAAGTTAAATTTCCAAAAAAACACGTGACTCCAATCAAATTAGTGTTCATTTCAATTACTGACCTCTGTGATGCCAGAGTTAGCCATTGGCTTAAGTTTTCTATTTTTTCCCTAAGAGATATTTTGCTGTCCTACAGAACCAGCTTAATAACACCAATTTTCAGGGTAGTTTTGGAAGTTGAGAAACTATGCTTTAGTTTTGGCAACTGGAAACTTTGTCCAACCCGATACTATGTGAGGAAGGTGACTGAAGGAGTTTTAGGGACCTTTTGCACCTCTTTAAGACTTGGCAAATTCTATTTTGGAAAACTTCTTTGCCCCCCTTTCATTTGAATTTCCTCCCAGAAATAATCATCTTGGTATCACTGAGACAAATGTAATTATCCTTGCCTGAGAAATTAGGATTATGTCTTTCCACATATATGGCAAGGGAGAAGGCATTCCATTTATTTCCTGTCAGCTGACTGATGCTTTTGTATCATCAGGTAGCTGCACATATTAACGTTGTAATGCAAGGAAAAATTTATTCTCTTCAAAATCATATTCTTCAAATACTATTCAGAAGGCCATTTGGCAACAGTACAGAATTTAACTTAGCATTCTAATTTGGAATTCACTGAATGTGTTCAGACTATTAGAAAAGGAAGTAAAAATACGGGGGAAAACCATTTTTATTTGTTTCTGAAAATAATATTTAAGGTCAGAACTGTTTAAAAAGAAACACTACTAAAAAGTTACAGAATTCAGAGAAACATAGTATTTTTGTACAGTATCTTATATAATGTTCAGACCTCTCTCTATTCTCTTTACAATGTAATGTCTCTAAGTGACTGATTTCCCAATAAACTGATTTTGATGCCTCTTCTGCTGTGGTCTGTGTGTTTAATTCAAGCAAAAACTTTACCAGGGGATAATTTTTAGCCAATGGTTTGCATAGGAGGGGAGAGGGTCAATGTGGGAAGGGGATGATTGATCTGTACAGAGGTTATGAGTCATCTATGGCTCCAAATCATTGTACCAAATACTCTTATCCTGGTGGGTTGGGAAACTCCAGCGGTATTTTTTTGTTGAGCCCATGGTGAAATGATACCCTTACCCCCAACCACCCTTTCTCTGGATTCTTCTTGCTTAGTTACATATGCCTTTTTCCTGCCCTCTTGCTAACATGTGCCCAATGACATACTTCTAACCTGCTAATATTTCTTGGAAGGTAAGCTCTCTTGCATTCTGATAATTGTCTATTTGATTTTAAAAGCCAGAGCACCCTGAGGCACCTCTACCTAGGTAGAAATAGACTAGTATATTGGAGTTAGCTAATACTTCTATAATTACCCATGCATTTTACTCTTTCTGCTTAAAGAACGTTATGATGGATTCATTTAAGCAGCGGAGATCTTTACTAACTTAGAAGACTGAAAACAAAATTCCAGGGCAACTCCAGCTGAAGGTGACTTACTTAGTATGATTTTGATTCTGTATCTTCCCCTTAGAAAGTACCTTCAGTGTTCGTGTTTGGGCACTCTTGTGCTCTTGGAGTAGTGCTTGTGATGTAAATCATCGGTAAACTTGCATTTCTCAAGCAGCCACGTTCTGCTTCTTTTCAGAGAGTTTGACCTTCTGCATGTGGAGCACACGACCACATGCCCAATACTGAATTGAGTCATCCCAGACAGTGTTTCTACATAATCCCAAACTGTCATGGTATATGTGCAGATGAGTGACTGGGTTTGTTTTCATTCCATTATGAGCCAGTGCCAGGTAGAGCAGGTGTCCGTGCCTGGCTCCGCAAGTAGGAGCATCGGGTAGTTACGCTGAATGTCTGTGTGCCTAACATCTTCATCTCCTTTCCTGTACCTTGTGCCTATCATTGTTCCAAAATGTGAGATAGTGATTGGTTGTGTTCCAGTTTGTGTGCAGTTTCCTTGCCTGACTTTTATTTTTTCTGTTTTTCCTTTTCCATTTTCAACATCTATTATTTGGTCCCTACAATGTTTCTGCCGCGGGTTGACCATTAAATGTTCCAAAAAGAGTTGAACCGACCTACACATTAATTCTACATTTTATGCTTTTCTAGGTCTCCAGAGAGAGTCCAATCCCTGTCCTGTAATAACTGTAGAGCACTTTAAAGAATCGACGGGTGTTAAAGGCCTTCCCCTGTATGCAGACCCCTCCAGAGTACCTGGCGCAAAGACTCAGAACAACTTAGAATCTGACTACTTGGCCAGAGATGGCCCTTCAAGCAACAGCTCGTTCCACAGCAGCGAAGAAGAAGGGACTGACCTTGAGGGAGACATGCTAGACTGCAGTGGGTCTCGACCTCTCCTTATGGAGTCCGAAGAAGAAGATGAGAGCTGCAGGCCACCCCAGGGGAAGCTGGGGGGAGCCATTCCATTCACTCCACCAGAAGTCTCTACTGAGCAAGCAAAGACAGTACAAGGTGGAAGAAAGAACCAATTCCAAGCCCTCACACAACCAGCCAATGATGGTCTCGGTGAGCCAGATGTTTTTGCCACAGCCCCCTTCAGGAGCTCAAGGCTTCCAACTGAGGACATGGACATTTTCTCCAAAGCCCCATTTGTCTCCAAGGGCAATGTGGCTTCTTCCCAGCCGGAGGAGGCAGATGTGTTTTTGAGAGCTCCTTTTACTAAGAAGAAAAGCATGGAGGAGTTAACAGTTGTGCAGAGCACCTCCCAGGAGTTGCCTACACAGGCTAGCCTCCTGAGTCAGACAGGTGACGTCCCTTTGCTCTCAGGCCTTGAGAGAGCTGTGTACCCCTCTGTCCGAGCTCAGTATTCTATGGCTGGTTTTGTGCAACAGTCTAACCTCCCCTCCCATTCTGTGCAAGCAGCAGACCATCTTGACAGCATCTCTCCCAGGGGTTCCTCCCTGGAACCTGGGGGCCATCCTAATGACAGAAATAAAGGACCTCAGCTCCAGAAAGAAGGTGTGTCAGGCCCAGTGGCTGGCAAACCATTCCGCCCCCAGTCCTTATCCAAATATTCCCGTCACTATAGCCCAGAAGATGAGCCAAGTCCAGAAGCCCAGCCCATTGCTGCCTACAAAATTGTTTCACAAACCAACAAGCAGTCAATAGCTGGCTCTGTTTCCATCACACCCCTTTCCTCCAGGACTACGGAGCTGCCAGCTGCTGATCCTTTCGCTTTAGCACCCTTCCCTTCAAAATCAGGCAAGCAGAAACCTTAGGAGCAATACCTGAGCCTTAGGCCTCTGTCTCCCCCGATCCTCAGTCCCCACCAACCACATCACTCCCAGCTGAGCCTTTCCAAGAAGAAATATTATCAATTACCTTTTAATTCCCTGCATCAGAGCAGAACTTCTTCAGTCAGTAAACTCAATTGCAGTGATACTTAGTTGAAGCCCCTTTAGTTATGTTCGTTTCTTTTGTTTATGTTGATTTATGGATTTTCAGACATTTCCATCTCCTTCATGGGAGTCTTCCACCTCCACCCAGAACTCTGCTTTTTTTGGCCCAGAAACTGTTTTCATCCAGAAATACTTCACCCCAATCCCAAAGGGGCCATATTACTGCTAGTTTTAATTCCTGTGGCTCCTGTTCTAAGTCATACCCATTGAAGAATCAACATTAGTCCCTCCAGGGCTTGATTTAATACTCTTGGAAACGGGAGATTTCTGGAAAGAAGAGCAAGATAAAAATCCTGCATATCAAGACGAAGTATAATCCTGCAGCTACTAATCATTCCTTTAGAGCCCACAGCTCTAGAAGGAGTCTCTGGATCTGTTGGAGTCTGTGTGCAAGCCGGGCTGGCCCTTGTGCATGCAAGCGTGTGTCTGTGGATGTGTAATGTGCATCAGGTCCTTTCCTGTGTGGCAACAGATGCAGATGCAATGATTGTGCTCATGCCTAATCGTGTTGGCAGGGCCTTACCCACATCCACACTTTTTAAATTAGTACGAGTGCACAGGTACGGGCATGCGTGTGCGTGTGCGAGTGTGCGTGCACGCACACAGGAAGCATTTCTCCTCTAGGTAAATCCTGTCCCACCAAGCCTACCCGTGCAGTCAGATCACTCATTTACTGGCATTTGTCTGCTCACCTGACTTGAATCCTGTTTTTATTTATTTAATTTTCTTCTCATGGCAAAACTGAATTCATTGAAAGGCGTAGGGAGATCTTGCTGGAACTGAGGTTTCAGAGTGGATTTTTTTTTCCTCCAGAATTTGCTCTTTGCTGTTAATAAATTCCATTTTCCTGATTGTAAAAAATTAATTATCCTTATACAATTTTCTCTCACAACTGTAAAAAAGAGCACTTGTTACAGTTCCAGCCACTGGGTATGTGCACTCAGTGCCATTACTCTGGAATTCATGAATCACAAGACTAGGCTACAAACTAGATTTGCTTGTTTTTTTGTTTCGTTTTTTTTTCTGAGTCCTTGCCATCTTTCTCTATTGCCTCTTGAGGAAATATAAATCTGAGACATAGAAGTTAAGTCTGGGAGAATGGAAAAGAGCTGAATCGGCTAGGCATGAAAGCTTTTAAATTCTCTGTCCTGTTCACATGTTGAAGTAGGCCAGATGAGTGACTGACTTGTGTTTTTGAAAATGTCTTTTATTTCTGGAAGGACATATTCCTAGCTTTTTCCATACCCTTCGTTATTAGTGCCTTAAAACCTACATTAAAATAGGAAGTTCAACTTAATGGAAAGAGTTGCTGCTGCAGGTTTCAACTTGAAAGCATCTTGTCACTCGAAGTACATATTAGTGACTTCCCCATTAGCTGGAGAGGGTCACAAAGTTGTTACCCAACCAGATTAATGATTTAAGAATTATTGGAAATTCATCCAAGAATCAAGCCTAAATGCCAAATTCTGTTGAAATTGATTAGGTGTGATATTCTTTAAAGTTCAGGGATCTTGACAGGAAAATAAGAACTACCTTTTAACGCTTTTTTTTTTTGTGGTTAGTCTGCACTTACTTCACATGTCCAGGATTAAAGATAATCGGCACTATGTCGGGGTTATCACCATTGATTTTCCAACGGAGGTCTCAACTGTACTAGAAATCTGTATCTTTGACTTTGGTGGATGATAAGTGTTTGTTCTAAGAGTTGGTCTTCTCCCAGTTATCATTTCTGATTTTTCTGTGTAACCCTGGATACAAAATTGTCTTTCTAGTTGAATGAATAATTCTGGCTAATGCATATGGAACTTTGTGCCACAGACTCTTCCCTTATTATCAAGGGATGCCCTCAAAAGCATGAACTAAGAGGCTAGGAATATTCAGAGAGTGTTCTCACCCCAAATTAGAAATTCTTAAAAGTGGGAGGTCATTCTAATTCACTCATCCAAACATTCAGTATTACTTCTATAAGAGCCCTGCAAAATGTTTTTCCTCTGGTTATTTGATTATTTGATTATTCTAATCGAGTGGGTATTTTAATTATCAAAGTACAAGTCAGAATGAAATCATGGTGATTTTAATGTTTCAAATGGGTTTTTCAAATAAGAAAAAAATCATGGTAATTTTATTATGCAGTTGAATACTTTGTCAAGCATGGGCTCGTAACCTTTTTTTAATTCTCACTGGAGAAATGAGGAGGGATGGAGACTCTACATACCTTCTTTGAATAGGGTAATGAATTTAAACACATGCAAATGAGTTTTGTTTTTTTCTTAGTGATGAAAATATTTTCACTTGCGGATTACATTAATTATTAGTTAATAACTGGTGAATTCTACAGACTTGTATTGCAATAAGGTTTTGTTCCCTATCTACTGGTCGTCTTTAATGGGGTAAATACATCATTTAAAAATAAAATGTTCTTGCCAGAGGTCGTCCTGGATCTGAAAATTTGGAAAATTTCCTTTTAAGGAGATTCAGGAGTGGCTGGGGTGCTATGAATTGGTAGCAATGCATGTTTCCAACAACTGTACTGCAACAGGTTAACATAAAAGAGAAAAAGAAAATACAGTTATGTGTTGCTTAATGACGGGGACATGTTTTGAGGAATGCTTTGTCAGGCGATTTTGTCAGTGTGCAAACATCATACTACTTTACACAATCCTAAATGGTATATCCTACTACACCCCTAGGCTATATGGTGTAGCCTTTTGTTCCTAGGCTACAAACCTGTACAGCATGTTGCTGTACTGAATATGGCAGGCAATTGGAACACAATGGTAAGTATTTGTATATCTAAACATAGAAAAGGTACAGTTAAAATCCGGTATTATAATCTTATGGGACCACTGTGGTGTATGCGGTCCATCCTTGGCTGAAACATCGTTATGCAGCACATGAGTGTGTATACTCAACAAAATACTGCGCTTTCTTGTTTTATTATGTTATGTGTTATTTGCTTTACACATTTGATAGGGTATACAGGAGCTTGTGACCTTTCATTTCAGTGGAAAGCAATGAGCCAGATTAAATTTAGACAAAGCATTGAGCCACAACATACACTGATGAACTCTTTAAAAACCCACAGTAATTGACTTACAGGCACTACTGACTTAAGTTATCTTATGTGTGGTGAAAAATATTTAATGTATCGGCCGGGCGTGGTGGCTTACTTCTGTAATTCTAGCACTCTGGGAGGCCGAGGCAGGAGGATTGCTCGAGGTGAGGAGTTCAAGACCAGCCTGAGCAAGAGCGAGACCCCCGTCTCTACTAAAAAATAGAAAGAAATTAGCTGGACAAGTAAAAATATATAGAAAAAATTAGCCAGGCATGGTAGCACATGCCTGTAGTCCCAACTACTCAGGAGGCTGAGGCAGGAGGATTGCTTGAGCCCAGGAGTTTGAGGTTGCTGTGAGCTAGGCTGACAGCATGGCACTCTAGCCCAGACAACAGAGCAAGACTCTGTCTCAAAAAAAAAAAAAAAAATATTTAATGTATCAGTTTCTTGGCCTCACATACAGCCCATTAGTTCCAAATCCTTGGTTAGATTAGAAAATGGGATGCACAAAATTTGATGCTGAAGCAGATGCTGGGAAGGACCCAAGGGAGTCTAGGTCATAACCCTATTTCATTTTGGGCCCACTTAGAGAAGAGTTGAAAATCTCATGCATAGGCTGGTATGTGTGTTTACAGGCCCATGTTGTGTCTGAGTTTCATCTGGCAACCAAGATCTCTTTCTAAACTTTCAAAAAATACTGAGATCTTATTGGCCCATTATTTAGTAGGTTTTAGAATACATATACATCAGTGTTTTCAACTACTTGGCAGACATTTCACTGATGCATAATGAAAGCAGATTTAAGTTTAATTACCAGAATGACAGTAGAAATTCTGTATTTGCTTCCATAAAGAAAAATAAAACATAGATCAGATAATATGATATGTATGCAGTATATCACATAGGAAATTGGAGAAGGGTGAGATCCAGTTCACTCTGTAGTAGGAAAGATACAACTTAAAATGGAATCACTTGGTTCCCTTTAATAAAGAAAGATATTATTCTCTCCTGTATCTTTGGAATTAAAATCGTAGAACACATACCCGTCAACTCCGAAATGGCTGCTGGTCACACAGATGCAATTTTATCTGAGAAATTTCGAACCCAAATTATTGTGATGCAAGGTACACAGGAGAGCTGCAGAAAAGACTGTAGCCTCTAAGGAAGTAGGAGCACCTTGTCAATGTTCACACCACCCCTGAGTTCTAATCCTCCAATCCTGCCCAAAGGAGTAAACTTTGAAGGTTTTAAATGGAATCATCTAATTTAAATTCTTAGTTTTTCCATTGTCTTTGTCAACTAATACTTGTAGATGTCGTGTTTTGTTGTTTTTTCAACTGCTGGAACACTTGCAAAGTTGATATGAAAACTTCACTAAAGGAAGAGTTTCAAAATGCTTGAAAATAAAACGTAGTATCTGGTTGGTAATGATTTTTGCTCTATCCCTGGAAGTCTTCTGGCTCACCTCCCTTGTTCCTGTTCCCACTTCATTTCCTCACTTGACATTCCTCTGTTTTGACCATACCGATAAGTGGAAGATGAAAGTACAGTCGAATGATCATGTTAACTTTTATTTGCCTCCCTGGTTGCTGTAAACAGTTTCTTCTTTAGTTTCAGCCCAGCCTGTGACAATCTCACCAAGTAAGAATGAAATGGCTCACCTTCCCTATTTCTTATGGACTAGAAGAAAGGGTGAAGGGAGGTTGGCAGGACGCCAGCCTTAATGGGTGGAGACAAAACCCAGAGGCACCTCTCCACCTTGATCTTACACAGGCCCACAGTGTCCTAGAATGCAGGGGCAAGTTTATGTGTGAAGGGACTCTAGAAGCTGGTAAAAATGGCTACGTGTTAACCACTCGTGGCTTAGTATGGTATTCCTATAACCTATAATTCTGTAAATTTAGTCTGAGCTATCTCCCAGCAGTCTTCAAGTATGTGTGACCCAGTTTTAAGTTTATAGCATAATAACAATGTTCTTGAAATCAAGTCAATGTTAACCTGCGTTGCATTGTTATAGAAATATATGTACACGTTAAAGGAATCAGTTTGATTCCTTTTGGCAAAGAATTGCAGAAATGGTTTTTACCTATGTCAGTTAAAGTAGGATAGGTTAGACATTGAGGTTGAGGGGAGAGACAGTGTAGCCTTTTCACTCTGAAATGGCAAGTCAGTTGTATTCTCTGAGTCTACCAGAGATTCCTATTTGAGGAGTGTGAATGGAGTGTGTGTGTTTTTGTGTCTGTGTGCGCACTCACGCATCCTCATGCTTCCTTCTGTAGTGTTATTTCAAGCCCTCCTAATAAAGGCATCCAAAGAACACTGAGAAGTGACAGTAGGTATTTGGCAGAGTAAATTTGGTTCCTTTTGCCA